ATTGTACAGTGGCATTAAGTGCCGAAATGTGCACCTCTGCCTACCCCTTCGGGGATAAAAAGGCGTGATGTTATGTTATGTATTTTTTACAATAACTATCGTGAGACATACTAAACTAACTAAAATCGCGGTTTACTCACGCACGTCAGTGAGCTGCGCGACGTCGTCGCGACATTCTATATTCCGTGATCGCGACCACGCACGCTGCTTATGAGGAAGAACCCCTCTGTGGTACGAAACTAGTAGAGCTTTGCTCAGTATATTTACGAGAGTAACCCGCAATTTTAGTTAATTTAGGTTCATGTATTGTGACATGTGTGGTATACGTCCAGTGGTGAACCCATCTTCAAATACTGCTTCCTTCGAGTTTGGATGTTGTTTTTACGATAGGAGAAGGTCCTGTGAAGTTTTTTTTTGATGCGGTGTGACTTTATAGGCTCACTAGCAAGCTCGTTGGAGTGACACCTTATATGCTTCAGTATGGTGACTTCCTATTTTACTGATCTTATTTTTAAGTCTCGGGGTTTTAGTTGTATATACCATGGGGCATTTGCTATCATTCGAAGCATTTTTGATTGGAAACGTTGTAATGTCCAAGTTGCAGTTGGCTGCGGTTCCCTAAGAGTTCTGATCCTTAAAACTAAACCAGAATAGGTACTATTTATTTGATTGCACTGCACACCGGCTGCTGTACAACGTGCCACAGGTTCGTTAGTCACGTTTTGTGATTCTGTCAAGTGTCTGGATGTACCTAATATATATGGTGGATAGTATGTTTGTAAGCTTCCTTACGACACCGAAAACGACCACTCAAAACACGTCGACTCATCAAATATACCTACAGGATGGTTGGCGCGTGCAACAAAGCCAAAAATTGTGTCAACATTTTGTCAGTGATTCGGGAGGTCATTAGCTACCTTTTACCTATAAACCCTTCGTCGCTATTACAATATTTCATTTGTAACCACACATGAAACATCATAGTTCGTTTTTAATCAATAAACTGACGAAATTGTTGAAATGCTCTATTGATTGATAATTCAGTAAACTAATTTTAATACATATGTAGTTTAAAATGTAATGAAATATTAACACCTACTGTTGTAATTCCAGCCTCACGTCCAGTTCGGTCGCCTCAATTTGGAAGACCGTACCCACCGTTTGGGCCCCCACCCCCACCTCCACCAGTAAGATGCTTTGGACCAGTTTGCAGACCATTTGGCCCAGAACGCTTTGAACGAAGACATCACTTTAATCCCTATGAAAATAGAGGTTATTATCCACCGGGCGTCGGAAACGGAGGGTCTATCAGTATTTCCAAGACTATCAGCATCAGTGCTGGTGGTAACGCTCAGTCCAGCGCCGCATCCAGCGCTGGCGGTGGAAGGTCAAGCGCTGGATCCCAAGCTTCCAGTATAAGTGGCAAATAATTTATAGTTATACGTTTAAAATAAATGTTATTTTATTGTTAAGTATGTGTTCGCAGTTTTATTATTTCGATTTCACTTTCTTAACATATAAGGGGTATTTTTATAGATCACAATTTCCCCTATATTTATTATTATAGTCTTTGCTCAGAATATGCTACTAAGCCCTTCATTCGTCTAGACTAGAAACACTCTCATACTCCTTGTAGTCATCTCATTTTTTACGAAGGGTCTTATTAATGTTAGTGGTTCTTTAAATACTAGAAGAAAGAAAGAAAGAAAGAAAAAGCATTTATTTGGCAAATGGCACACAAACAAAGATTATGAAAAATAAAAATACGGATTCGATTCCCGGGCCGAGCAAAGTATTACTGGGTTTGTAAAAACCTTAGTAGTAGCATGGAGTCTGGAAATGTGCCCGGTATATGGCAATAGGCTCACGCTCACCCCCTATTACATGGGACTCATAACATAAATAGTGAAAAGTGGGTGCTACATTGTACAGTGGCATTAAGTGCCGTAATGTTCACCTCTGCCTACCCCTTCGGGGATAAAAGGCGTGATGTTATGTATGTAAAAATACAGATACTTACATAAATACATAATATTAATAATACATATGTAATATTGTAGTGCAGTATGTATGTATATGTAATATATTCGTGGTTAATAATTGTACCCTATTAATAAAACCTATCCCTATTATTATTGCGTACGGCGCGTGGCGTTCCGCGCGCGCCTCAAAGAGCCATCAGACTACCACGGATGGGGCCCAATAGGACTGTTACAAGGGCTCCGGCTCGAAGTGCAGCAGTAAGAACGGGATGGTTTTTAGTCAGTACGAGTCTGAAATTCCATCCCGCCTCACCCAGGCGGGAGAAGTCATTGGATAAGTAATTTTGCCCCCTTAAAAACATCTCTATTTTTGTAGTGTCAAGTTTTCCTTAACATATTTGTTCTTTTATTTAGACGATTTATTTATTTAAGTTTTACACTCGTTATAGCGTAATTATTAGATCTTTTGGTATAATTCTAAATATAAATGAGCGTGCATTTTACTTGTTTGTAGCGCTTTTATTTTTATCTGAACCAATAAACATTAAATTTGTCGTATTAATACAATAGCAGGCTAATCCTTTTTTTGCATACGAAATCAAATGCTAGCAATACCGAACATCACTTTATATATTTGTCGAGTATTTACATAGCAGTCGTAATATACAATGCAATGCACATGTCTACGTTAATTACATTACAACGTAGTTGGGTAATCCTATCAGGAATTGATCAGCCATGAACTTGTAGTAACAACAAAGATAAACGTTTAGCGACGAAGTCTAATCGAAGAGGTGTCAATTATTTGATTCAACTAAAATGAATTGTCATTTTATTGAATTGTCTGTTATTGTTTTACCTCACTAATAAAGATATAAATATTTCTGACTCATTCAGATATGGTACCATATTTTTTCCTTATATGACATGTTTTTCGGTTTACTCACGTAATTATTTGACGAGGAACTCGATTAGCTTCAAGCCATGCTAGAGCTTCGTATTCTTGAGTAGCATTCAGAAAGAAAGAAAGAAAAAACATTTATTCTACAGTAGGCACGCACACAGATACAAAAAAAAAGAAAAGGACAAATAAATACACATATTTATATAGATATAGAAAAAAAACAAAGAAACGACAGAATGACAATACAATAATAAAATAGTAATTAAAAATTTATAAAAACAAGATATAGAGGTAGATTATGTGAGTAAGCCGAAAAACATAATGATTAATTTTGATTGTTTTCTTTTTCGAAATAAACCGTGTCCCGTACTCGATTTAGATATTACACAAGTATTACACATGTACTATGCATTGGATGCGAGAAACGGAATACTAGAAGAAAGGAAAAATAGTTATCTCTCGGACCAGATAGGGGAGATGACTATTTTTCCCGGTCTTCCAGAGGCTTTTCGCAACTGGGTGCTTACTCTTGAAACCAATCTCAATGTCAATGCAATTCCAATCCAATAAAATCTCAATAATTATTCTATGTCAAAACTATACAACTCAAGAGTACTACTAATTTCACAATACCAATTTGGATCGATCGGAATTGGATTCAAGAGTAAGCCCCATGTTCAGAGGAGTTACTGCATTCACAAATATAAAAATACTGACAACGAATAAAGTATCTAATTAATGCATGTACCTAAACAGTTTCGCTGGTTATTTTCTTTTTCGTTTTTAATTGTAAATATCTGTTTTTAAACAATAAATAAAAGAGTTAATATTTATGTACCTCCGATCTATATACATAATATACATGTTCTCCTGTTTACTGTCCGTGTGTCGCACATAAATTTATAAATAAAATCTAATTTCTGAGTTAAAATTGTACTGAAATTATTACCATGGCAACACCGATCAGTGTGGTATGGTTATTCGCAAAGATAACATTTTATGAATACCCTATTAGAAAAGGACGCCCATATACATTCAGCCTTCTCTCTCGACTCGTTTTTTCAGATACTGTGCTGTCCAGCTTTAATACAAGTTCATACCCACAGTCTTTGTTTTGCTTTACAATAAAATATAGAATATTTACGAACTTATTTTGACAAAAACAATATTAATCGTTATTGAATTAAATAAGTCAGATTTGTGACGACATTTGTTACAAACTACAGCAATAGGATATACCTCGAAAATTTGCCAAAAGTCATTATTATACGCGGACGACGACGCGGGAAATAGCCAGTAGAATATAAACAAAGATGATCGACATATAGAGGTATTATTTTAGCTGTCCGGTTCCCGAGGAATGCCTTACAAAGTTCATTCAAGTCGATCTGGTTTCCTCCTCATTCCTTTTTTAGCAAGTACCTTATATAAAAGATTCTTAATTTTTGACACCATTAGTATTGCATTGTCTGCTCACAAGATGGCACGTTCTGTTGCTCTACTGCTGGTGTTTGCGTTGATCGTATCCACTTTGGCAGCACCATCTGAACCGAAGGAAGAGGGTTAGTATTTTGTATTACACAATCGCAATCGATAATTTAAGCCTTTGACTGCCGACAGAAAACTGCTGAAGGCAAATCCTCCGCTAACGTAGGTCACCGGTGACCTACGCGGCGGTTAACGTGTTAATTTTTATTCGACATACTTTCATAGTGAATTAAAGGAACCTTAGTAATCGAATAACTACATAGTTACTTTGCAGTATACAGGGGCTTAGATTCTGTCTGCACAAGTAAAATAATTTAATACGTAACTTAATATCGTTCATTAACTTGTTTCTCCGCAGATTCACACACGAAATGCAACTTATTGTAAAGTGAATGTTGTTTCATTTTTGTAAATATGTATTCTATTCTTCTTGATGATTTTCACAGGTATTTTTTTTAAGGGGGGAAAATCGTCGAATGACTGCTCCCGCCTGGGAGTGTCAGACTCTTACTGACTAAAAACCATCCCGTTCCTTCTCTTGCACGTTGAGCCGGAGCCCCGGTTACCCGTTAGGTTCTCCGCGACGACTTTCACAGGTATAGAGGTAGCAATAGGCTCGATCCCACCGAATCACCGAACATGACATGATGAGGCAGACCGCAGATGGCGTCTACAGTAGTCTTGCAATAAAATACAATGATCGGTTGATCGGTCCGAAACTTAATGTTTCTCATCGCTCCACGTCACACTAATGTCTATCACTTCAGCCAACAAGGTGTGACGGCAAGTATGATGAGTCCTCCATGCTACCTTTTCCATTGGGAATTCCGGTCTAAGGTTTGACAGGATATGTAGCAGGGATCCCTTCGGAGCATGCTTCCAATCCAGCCCCACTTGCAGCATTTGATTTAGTGAACGATGAGTTGAGTTGGAGATGGTTTCGGACCAGTAAATACTAATGCGAGTAATGATAAATCACCTTCCATTTCAGGTGCAGGCGGTAATGCTCAAGGTAGGCTCAAGGAATCAAGCATTGCTGCCATAGTTGATGTTACGCCAATAAGGCGGGTCGCTCGACAGTACAATGTTGGCAATGGAGGAAACAGTCACGGATCTGGTAATGCTGGGAACGGTGGCAACTTCACGACCATTAATTTATGACGTGGTAATAAAACCGTAAACCAGTAGTCTCAACTGCTGTTCCTTATAATCGTGTTAATTAATATGGGCCAGTATAATACCTGTATTTGAACAAATTGAATTTCTACATACATAAATTAATTAGAAATTTGTAACTAAATAATAATGCAAATTTGACATGTTTGACTGAAGACATCACTAAGTAGAGTAGATTGTTGCATTATTTTGATGATTGTATGAAATTAATAATAAATAAATAACATTATTCCCATCTGTATACAATGATCGATTAAGAGAAAATTTTGTCCTCAAGTGTGTATCAATCTTAATTAAATCAATGAAATCGTTCACTTGTTCATTTTGTTTTATTTACCTGTTTCAATAATGACAAAGTTTTATCGAAAATGTGGTTGTTACGTTTAATATCCAAACCCGCGTAAACGTCACGATGTCATCGTGTGCGTTACCCAGGCCAGATGTTGTCGAAAATGGTCATTTGAATGTTATAGATAATTAGTTGTGCGGCTTCTGTAATTGTTGCGCACATTTTTAAATTTGTTGCGCTTATAGTATTTAATTATTTCACAAAAACATTTCTTGCTGGGGTAACGTTTCTCCAGCCAGACCTTTTTCTTTGTAATGGGAATATTTAAATAATTACTAGCTATAAAATTAGTTGTCTAGATGAAGTAAATGTTGTGCCTTGTTTTGTATTTGTTCTTTCATCGGTTACGAAGTTATTAGAGATTTTGCTGGGGTAACGTTTTTGATGTTGCTAGATCTTTGAAATGGTTAAGCGGATTCTTATCATATTTGGTACATGACTTCTTATTAATTAGTTCAAATTTGTTGTGCAATAAAGAAACTAAAATAATAAATAGCTTAAAAGTTATTTCATTAAATAGAAAAACACTTAAATTGGTCCCAGCACTCTCAATAAGAGCTCTAAAGACTTACTTTAAACGTTATTTAAAAGCTTGTAACTCCCTTCAAATGTATGTGAAGTTTCATTAGTATCCTGTAAGTATTGAACTATCCTGTAAGTATTGTACTAAATTTGTAAAACTATCCTACATATTTTAGAAGGTACCATAATGTTCTGCGTTTTCGCTTTTTCGTAACCACCTAAACTTGGTCGGGTTACCACGGTCGTTCTCTTCCTAATGACTTTAATCGTATTATCTCATTAATTATCCAGTGTATTAAGCTGAAATTTTACTGATGTATAACTGAACTAAACAACTAAATAATTTGAACTAATTAATAAGAAGCCATGTACCAAATATGATAAGAATCCGCTTAACCATTTCAAAGATCTAGCAACATCAAAAATGTTACCCCAGCAAAATCTCGAATAACTTCGCAACCGATGAAAGAACAAATACAAAACAAGGCACAACATTTACTTCATCTAGACAACTAATTTTATAGCTAGTAATTATTTAAATATTCCCATTAGAAAGAAAAAGGTCTGGCTGGAGTAACGTTACCCCAGCAGGAAATTTTTTGTGAAATAATTAAAAAACTATAAGCGCAACAAATTTAAAAATGTGCGCAACAATTACAGAAACCGCACAACTAATTATCTATAACATTCAAATGACCATTTTCGACAACATCTGGCCTGGGGAACGCACACGATGTCATCTATTTTACTGCGACGTAATATATTGTACGAAAACCACGAACACCAATCAGTAGGATGAGTCAGTCAGTTAAACGTAAAGACATGGACGTGACTTATACGTGACCTCTAAAGTGTATCGAAGTGCACTTGTTCGTATTTTATTTATGTCTCAAACATTACAGAATGTAAAACCCAACTGCATATATATCTAAAATATATTTTCCCTTTTATTAGTATTGCATTGTCCTCTTACAAGATGGCACGTTCTATTGCTCTACTGCTATTACTGTGTTCGTCGATCGTATCAACTTTGGCAACACCATGGGCATTTTACAACGTACCATCATTCACACATCGTCCTCAACATCATAACATTCAGCTGGCAGATACAGGTAAACATTTTCTATTTTGTGGTATTAATAAAACCGTGCATGTTTTAGCATACAGTACGCTTTATAACATTCAGAACAATGGGGGGTCGGTGCCATAATCAAAAAACAATCCAACATATTCTCATTAAATCCGAATACTAATCCAGGATAGTATCAGCGTGTGCTGATGCAGGTGTCTGCATGAAGTAGGTTCGAATATTTGATGGTTTCGCTGTCGGATGTTCATGCTAAACATCACTGAACCTCAATGTTCTGATGGTTGTAATATGTCTTATAGTTGTAATATAATGTAATATTGCATTACGTATATATTTTAATACTTCTTCATGATATTTAATTAGTATATATTGTGTAATATGTATAACTATACATATCTACATGTCAATGTATGATCAAAACTCAGAACAGTGTTAAACTTTTACACCTACTATTGTGTCTCTCTGCATCACCCTAAGGTTGACTGTTAGAGAATGCCACTAGGCATTAAGTCTGCCATTGTATACAAGAAGTGTAAATAAATAAATAAATAAATAACTTCTGGTTGGACAAAAGACTGGATGCATCATCTTCCATTTTAGTTCCAGTAGCTGTACCCACCATATCAAGCATTGTTATCAAAGATAATGCACAACAAACCAATATTGGCAATGGAGGAGACGCCTATGGAAATGGTGATGCTGGAAATGGTGGAAACTTCGAAAACATAAATATCGGAGGTACGTATTGAACGGTGCACACAAATGCCAACAAAAGAAGCGTACTATGTAATGGTTACTTTAACCCATTATACTATCACTGAGTCATAATGTTGTGATATTTGTAATATCACATCTGATTTGACGAAAGACCGCTGTATTGCAAATGGTATTGAATCACCTTTCATTTCAGGTATAAAGGACAACACTGACACTGTGCCCTCAGATGGGGGTACTCCCGATGACGTTTTTAATCTTGGTAATGGAGGAAACAGCTACGGACGTGGTGATGGTGAAAATGGTGATAACTTTAGCAACATCACTATAACGGGGTAGGACTTGAATGGCACACCCTGCAGTAAAAGGCGTAGATACCTGTTTACAAGTGGTATAATGTAATACCTAGTAAGCTGCTGTTTCTCAATTGTTAAATAATATCCCATTAACAATATAAATGTGAAATAAAATAAGATCCACGTCTAAATTAATTATTTGTATTACCTACCTCGGTTATTGACTTTAGTAACACAAGAGTGTGTGCCAAATCCAATGGTAGTTCTGTAATTTATTTCTAATAATTTGAGTCAATACATTAAAGCCTGAGGACCTGAGTTGGTTAGTTTTTATTTTGGACATTTATGCCTCGATAGCCGAGTGGTCGCAAGTGCGACTGCCGGACAAGGGTTTTCGGGTTCGAATCCCGGGGTAGGCAAAGTATTACTGGGTTTTTAAAAACATCTCAGTATAGCACGGAGTCTGGAAATGTGCCCGGTATATGACAATAGGCTCACCCCCTATTACATGGTACTCATAACATAAATAGTGAAAAGTGGGTGTTACATTGTACAGTGGTATAATGTGCACCTCTGCCTACCCCTTTGAGGATAAAAGGCGTGATGTTATGTTATGTTATATACAATAGTCTTGCACGTTTATTTTATTTACTATTTACTTCAAACAGACATACGCCATGACAGTTTTATTAAAATCAGTAAGAAAGAGAAAGGACACACGTCATCATATTTTGTTTCATCATATAATACATTGTCTATAACTTAACATTCCATTTTACTCAACAACCTACCTCAACGTAATGTATGAGAAACACAATTTCAGACTCATTTACTTCTAACGTAACAAACATTCAAACATATCACTCATAATAAAAATAAAATACGAACAAGTGCACTTCGATACACTTTAGAGGTATATAGGTATGTCACGTCCATGTCTTTACGTTTAACCGACTGGCTCATCCTCCCCCTCTGTACCCCGTTACCACAAAGCGTGATGGTGGCTGACGCATGGTGTTCGTGGTTTTCGTACAATACATAACGTCGCAGTAAAATAGATGACGCCGTGATGTTCTTATATTCCTTAACATAGTTTTACATAAGTGATTCGATACTATTTCACCTGCATTGATAATATGTTGTGGTGTCCCGGAGCCTTAAGTCGCCCACTTCTCATGCATGAGGGTGCAGGTTTGAAACCTACCAACGGCAAGTACCAATGTGACTTTTTCCGAGTTATATGTCCTTTCTAAGATCGTCTAGACATCACTGACAAACGGTGAAGGTAAACATCGTGAGGAAACCTGGGCTTATAATTTCTAATTATAAGTTTGTGATCGCCAACCCGCATTGAGCAAGCGTGGTGATTAATGCTCAAACCTTTTCCGTGTGAAAAGGGGTTTTGCTCAGCAGTAGCAGCAGTCAGCAGTGGGCATTTATAGGTTGTTAATGATTGATGATCACCTGACTTATTTATGATACTTGTTCAAGTCTAGTGTAATTATTATACAACTGGATTAGCTTTAGTAAAATAATTAGGAGTGTAATCATTATGTAGTTACGTTCGGCACAAAGGCTAAGGCGAATAGGCGACGGAGCCCGCAGCGGGGCACCATTTTCTGCCCACTAGTTTTGAAGTAGGCAACCTAATGAATGACATGACGGTAGCTAAGGTTCGCTTGCTTGTTCACTACAACTTCCGTCATGTTATTTAAACTTACCCGCCCACCTCTTCGGGTTGCCCTTTTTAAAAATAATAAAAATATATTGAATGAATATCACATGTGTGCATAATATTATGCTGTAGGTGTAGGTAGATCAATCACGTTACGGTTAACAGGAATCAAACTGCGTAGTTGTAGCTAATTATAACTCTCACACCTTTTAAACCCTCCGAGGAACGAAGGGTTTGGTTATTAAATATAACATCCACATTTTACGATAAAACTTTTGCATTTTTGAAACAGGTAAATAGAACAAAAAATTAACAAGTGAACGATTTCATTGATTTAATTAAGATTGAAATACATACTAGAGGACAAAAACATTCTCTTAATCGATCGTTGTATGCAGATAGGAATGATGTTATTTATTTATTGTTTATTTATTTCATACAATCATCAAAATAATGAAACAATCTACTCTACTTAGTGATGTCTGCAGTCAAACATGTGAAACTGGAATTATAATTTAGTTACTTATATGTTTCTAATTAATTTATGTAGAAATTCAATTTTTTCAAAAACTATACTGTCCGATATTCATTAACATAATTATAAGGAACAGCCGTTTGGACTACGGATTTATGGTTTTATTATCACGTCATGTCGACGGTTAAAAGGAAATAGGGAATAAGCGCCAAAAAGTGAAATGTTCAGGAGAGCCGTTGAAAAGTAATACTAGGAAATGAATTTTTTTGCTAGCAAAAAAAATCATCGTCAAAATATCATCGTAGAGCCATGGGAGTGAACTCATTCGAAAAGGCACAAAATTTTACGTAGGATGGCATAAATAACTCATTTTTCACTGAAATGTCGCTTATATAGTACGCCCTACTTCCTTCTCACCGTCTTTATTTTAATGCCTGTAAAGTTTCCACCATTCCCAGCATTACCAGATCCTTTACTGTTTCCTCCATTGCCAACATTTTTCTGCCGAGCGTCCTTCTCTTTTGGCGTAACATCAGCATTACCTCCTGCAGCTGAAATGGAAGGTGATTTATCATTATTCGCACTGGTATTTACTGGTCCGAAACCATCTCCAACACAACTCATCGTTCGCTAAATCAGACGCCGCAAGTGGGGATGGATTGCCAACACGCGCTGAAGAGACATATTCCCGGCCACATAACAATTCCCGGCAAACCTTAGATCGGAATTCCCAACGACGATTTAATTGATTTAATTTTTTTTTTTTTTTTTAAAAAAAAAACGTTGCCCCACATTAGGATTTTCTCCTGTGTCGTGGGTGCGTTTACAAACATACAAGTTCACATACACAATGACACCCAGACCCGAAACAACAATTTGTGGATCACACAAAGTGTTGTTCCGTGCGGGAATCGAACCCGCGACACGTTGCACGGCAGCCGGTTGCCCAGCCACCGCACCAACCGTGCAGTCATTAAGATTCAAATACATACGATCATTAATTAAGATTGAAATACATACTTGAGGACAAAACTTTCTCTTAATTTTTGCAGACAAAACTTTTAACTGCATTGTATGCAGATAGGAATGATGTTATTTATTTATTGTTTATTTATTTCATATATTCACAATTATCAAAATAATGCAACAATCTACTCTACTTAGTGATATCTGCTGTCAAACATGTCAAACTTGCATTATCATTTAGTTACTTAGACATTTCTAAATAATTTAGAAATAACTAGCTTCTGCCCGCGACTTCGTACGCGCAATCCCATTTCCCCCGTTCCCGTTCGTGATTTTCGGTAAAAAGTAAAAAAAAGTATTGTTTAAAAAGTATCCTATGTCCGTCTCCTTGTTCTAAGGTACCTCCCTGCCAATTTTCATCTAAATCGATTGAGGCGTTCTTGAGTTATAAATAGTGTAACTAACACGACTTTCTTTTATATATATAGATAATGTAGAATATTAGTTTGTTCAAATACAGGTATTATTAGTATCGGTCAGTATAGACCGATATTTACATAGAGTCCATTTCATTAATTAACATTATTATTACCACTGTTAAAATCAAGGGCGCCGAAGGTTCCACCATTCCCAGCACTACCAGCTCCTTCACTGTTGCCTCCATTGCCAATATTGATCTGTCGAGCGACCCGCCTTATTGGCGTAACATCAGCTATGGCAGCAGTGCTTGATTCTTTGGGCCCACCTTGAACATTGACGCCTGCACCTGAAATGAAAGAAAGAAATCACTATCTGCAAACCAGTCATTCTCTGTCCAATTGATATGATATCAGAACAACTAAATTCGTATTTTCGGAACGGAAGTGTGGGAGAGCCATACTTCGGCACGAATGGGCCGGCTCGACCGGAGTGATACGACGGCCTCAAAACTACAAAAGCGATGTGAAAAAACGCTTGCGTTGTATTTCGTCGTTTTAGTGAGGTTACCAGAGACCCAATTACCCCCGCCCCAATCTCCCTAATCCCCGAATTCCCAATAATCCTCAAAAGCCCGGAAACGCACTTGTAATACCTCTGGTGTTTCTGGTGTCCGTGGGCGGCGCTGGTTGCTTACCATCAGGTGATCAGTCTTCACGGCATCAGTGTGACTTGAAGTGAGGTGAAACATTGAGCTTCAGATCGATCAACCGATCACATTGCAAGACTACTGTAGCCATCGTCTGCGGTCTGCCCCATCATGTCATATTCGGTGATTCAGTGGAATTGAGCCTATTGCTAGCTGCATACCAGTATTCAATTAAATACACATTTATAATAAAATTGAAAACCAGTTGAAAACCAAAAGTTTGATACCTGTGCAGACAGAATAACTTACCCTTAGTAGTTGAAGACTTCAAGTAAAGACTTCACTATGAAAATATGTCGAATAAAAATTACCCATCGATTGCGATTGAGAAATATAAAATACTAACCCTCTTTCTTCGGTGCAGATGGTGCTGCCAAAGTAGATACGATCAACGCAAACACCAGCAGTAGAGCAACAGAACGTGCCATCTTGTGAGCAGACAATGCAATACTAATGGTGTCAAAAATTAAGAATCTTTTATATTACTTGCTAAAAAAGGAATGAGGAGGAAAACAGATCAAGTTTAAAGAACTTTGTAAGGCATTCCTCGGGAACCGGACTGCTAAAATGAATTAAGTCGATCAGCTTTGTTTATACTTTACTAGCTATTTCCCGCGTCTTCGTCCGCGTATAATAATGACTTTTGGAACATTTTAGATATTTTAATTAGTCTTCTCTGCAGTTTATTGCAATGCTGTGTAACTAATCTCATGAGAATTAGTTTAGTCATATTTATGATGAAATTTTGTTTATTTTCGTGATTTAAAAAAATAATCAATTACACAGGGATTTTACCAGTATAGTTCCTGTGAGTGATTGAAACTCCATTTGAATTCCAATCAATATATAACTTACGCCGTTGTGAATCGCTGAGAGAATTGTTTAAAACGATAAATTCTTTAACGGTGCCCTGTCAATATATATATGAAAATATAATGTATGTAAGGAAAAATAGGCGATTGTTTGAAAAAAGAAGCGATAGACACAATTTTAATACTAGAGGCAAAAATAAGTTAGCTATACCGCAATTCAGACTGTCCAAAGTACAGAAATCCTTTATGGGGTTAGGTATTAAATGCTATAATAAAATACCAAGTAGCATACTAGATCTCAATGAAAGTAAATTTAAAACATATATTAAGCGCGAATTATGTAATCAAGCTTACTACACACTGACAGATTATCTTGAAGATAAGAATGCTTGGCAGCACGTTGGTTCGGCTCCACCGATAGTAGGTAATATAATACATAATTTAATACTTTAATTCTAATGTAGACAATCTAGTTTCCTTATGGCATCGAACATTTCTTTCTTTATTGAAACAAAGAGTTTCTTGTATAGAAGCACTATTTCTATAGATTGTCAGTATGCATATGTGAGCACTATGTTAGACTTAAGATTTTTATTTTTTTTATTTTAGTAAGTTATTAGTATAATGCGTCAAGCGTGTCTTTGCAATGTTCTTACATATGCGTACAGTATTGAAATATGTATCAAATAGGTTATTACCGGATTGCACTCTAATAAGTTCAGTGGTTTAAGCACTGATATGATAAGACTAAAGGGTTTAAGCAATAGAGAGTCCCGGAATTTTAATGCATACTTCCTGTCCCGTGAGATTTTCTTTCCAGCGCCAGTGTCTCGAACTCTCGTTAAACCGAATTTCAATCATATAGGTTTAGTTGTTAATAAAATTAGTATTCAGCATCTCTCTGCATACCTCAATTTTAAATCATTATAATAAAAAAATAAATTGTATCTGACGTATTTATTAAACGCCAACATTGTAGTACGTTTTATTGATACATTTAGTTTTCTTTTATCTTCATTGTTAGTTTTTATATTTTATAGTTTAAATGTAAGTATTATGAACTAGCTGTTATCCTCGACTTCGTCCGCGTTGAATAATGACTTCGGGCAAAATTTTCGAGGTATATCATATTGTTCATATTGTTGTAGTTTGTAACAAATGTCATCACGAATCTGACTTATTTAATTCAATAACGATTAATATTACATTTGTCAAAATAAGTTCGTAAATATTCTATATTTTATTGTAAAGCAAAAACAAAGACTGTGGGTATGAACTTGTATTAAAGCTGGACAGCACAGTATCTGAAAAAACGAGTCGAGAGAGAAGGCTGAATGTATATGGGCGTCCTTTTCTAATAGGGTACGCATAAACGTTAAAAAAAACTGTTATCTTTGCGAATAACCATACTACACTGATTGGTGTTGACATGGTAATAAATTCGGCACAATTAACTCAGAAACTGGATTTTATTTATAAATTTATATGCAACACACAGGCAGTAAAAAGGTTAACATGTATATTATGTATATAGATCGAAGATACATAAATATGAAGCTTTTTATTTATTGTTTAAAAATACGGGTTTACAATTAAAAACGAAAAGAAAATGAACGAATAAAAAAAATACAGCCATTAATTAGATACTTTATTAGTTGTTTGTGTTTTTATAGAAGTATTTGTAAATGCAGTAACTCCTCTGAACAGGTGTTAAAAGCTTTGGAAGACCGGGAAAAATAGTCATCTCCCCTATCTGGTCCAAGACATAACTATCTTTCCCTTCTTCTAGTCTTCCGTTTCTCGCATCCAATGCATTGTAAATGTGTAATACTTGTGTAATATCAAAATCGAGTACGGGACACGGTTTATTTCGAAAAAGAAAACAATCAAAATTAACTATTATGTTTTTCGGCTTACTCACGTAATTATATGACGCGTCGCGGAATGCTACTCATGAATTATACGAGCTTCTAGCATGGTTTGAAGCTAATCAAGTTCCTCGACAAATAATTACGTGAGTAAACCGAAAAACATGTCATGCGCAATGTGTCGTGGTTTCGATTTCCACACCCAACAACTCTTTGTGTGATCCACAGATTATTGTTCCGGGTCTGGATGTCATGTGTATGTGAACTTGTATGTTTGTCAACGCACCCACGACACAGGAGAAAATGCTAGCGTCTGGTAAAGTCTTATAAAATTAAATATAAACAATCAAAATAATTTGAACAATAAATTAATAAATCATTTATTTATCAATTAAACACTACCAATTCAATAATTATTTACCAAAACTACCAGCACTAGAGCTGGACTGTGCGGCGCCACCAGCCCCAAAACTGACACTCTCACTTTTTGAGAAACTCAATCCAGGATTTCCATAGCCGAATTGATCGTAGCCTGGAGCGCCATAGCCTCCGTAGCCGTGATAGCCTCCGTAACCATGGTAACCGTAGCCCGGTCCGTAAAATCTGTGTCCGAAGCCATGTCCGAAGCCGTGTCTAAAATAGCCTGGTCCTCCAAAACCATAGCCTCCAGGGTAGCCGGAAAAACCTCCGCCAATAACTCCCCCAATACCGAACACTCCAAACTGTGGAGCTGAAATATAAGAAGAACAATAGTTTGGATGTTAATTTTTCATTAAATTTAAAATTTTACCCTTGACAAAGTGTCACATACCTAAGGGCCATTGACCAATGCTAAAATATAACGATAAGGTAAATACGCTACGTTCTAACAACAATATTTTCCTGATTCAAAAATTCTGATAATACTGATCTGTTAACTTCACACATCCAAGCATATATAACTTTTTGCAAAAGAACGACGCAAAGATTGTAATATTTTGATCGCAATTACTTTCAAGTATTCTTCTACTTCTTTTAAATAATAATAATTATGTATTATGGGCACTTTCATCAGTTTTCACAAGTATAAAATAGACACTATAAATATTTACCTGAATCACAACATCTCAAGCTGACTAAAACTAGAACAGCAAGCGCACAAACAATAAGACGCACCATTTTGAATTTAACTAGTGATACTGGCAACAAAACAAGGTAGAACACTTTATATCAAACGTATGAACCACAAGCAAACGTAAGTGACAAAGTTAACACTATACGTTTAACAATGTTAATAAATCTTACTAAATAGGAATCGATCGAGTTACGTAAATGTTCGTTGTTCAAACGTACTGGTTGAACAACTAGCATTTTGGCGTTTCCAATATTAATGTCATATACAATGTCACGGCGATTTCTGCGTTTGGGGTTTTCCAAAAACTTAAGAGCTGGAATGAATCTTCGGTATCATGTTTAACAAGATCATCGTCTTTTTGTCTAAAATTATGTGCTCCTGCACATTTATTGAATTTTATTCAATTTTATTGTCAACATTTATTGAATTTTATTGTCTCAGTGTGTGGTCTCTATAATTCAAGTATTGTTAATTGTACTACATAGGTATATACTCGTATTATAAATGGACTTGTTTGTTTGTTGGTTCCTCACGTCGACACGGTTGAAGCACTCGAGATGAAAGGAGCAGGGGCAGATTATGGTCTGAAATAACTCATATCCCACGAGACGCGGGCAAAGCCGCGGGAGGAAGTTAGTGTTCAGGTGATGTAAAGATCTGTTTATCCACTAAAACTATTGTAATACATTAGAAACCATCTGGTCTATGTTTATTTTCAATCAATAGTATTATTTCTTTCTAAAATTCATATCTCATTTCTCTATTGTAGTGTAGTGATATAATTGTTTCCTTTACATCCACCACCTCACTATTGTCATTTGTTTCTTTTCGCTCTTTGAAAACTGACTAACTAAACTTCCACAAATCCCTGACGTGCCGATTGCCTAATTGCGCACCATGAAGTGATCTGTATGCAAGTTTGTCACCTTATCCAAAACTACGAAAAAGTAATTTCAAAAACAGCAATATTTCTCATCTAGAATATCCATATCCAGTGCCTTCCTATAGTAGCAGAAAAAAAAGTTGCAAATGTTCCATGTCCATTCTGTTTAATTTTAATTAGGGTGATAAAGTAGACGTGCGTCCTGCTCTTCGAGCCAAAGCCCCGGCAACCCGGGAGTAAACCGAAAAACCCGAGTGGGAGAACCCTAATCTATACATATATAATACGGAGGTTATACGCCGGTTATACGGTCGTGCGGTCCATGGCCCTCTACGGCGCCCCTGTCTGGGCGCCGAACCTGTTGCGGCGGCCCGCTCGGGCGCTGCTCATGTAACAGAGGGTCATGTCGATCCGAATGATCCGCGGATACCGCACGAACTCCGGGGAGGCGGCGAAAGTCCTTGCCGGATTACCGCCGTGGGATCTGGAGGCGCAGGTGCTCACGCGCATGCGCGCGGAGGCACGTCGCCGGGGCGAAACTCCGCTGCCGCGTCAGATAAGTGCGTGGCGGGATAAGCTACGGCGCGATCTCATGGCGGAATGGCAGCAACGACTGTCGCAACCGAGGGCTGGGCTCGCTGCCAATGCAACGGTAAGTCCCCTCTTTGAGAAGTGGCTTGAGAGACGCTACGGCGTCATCACCTACCGCCTGACGCAGGTCCTCACCGGACATAGTTTCGGGAGATACCTGTGTCTGATGGGGTGGGAGGAAACGCCCGGGTGCCATCACTGCGAGGGCCAACCTAAGGACACGGTGGAACACACAGTGGGGGAATGCCCTGCGTGGGCTGAGCACCGCTGCGCCCTCAGGGAAGTGATCGGCGATGGCGACCTCTCGCGTCCGGGCCTAGTGCGGATCATGATGCGAAGCGAGGGGGACTAGAATGCCTTCTCCTCTTTTTGCGAAGCAGTTATGCTAGCTAAGGAGGAGGCGGGACGCGTCCACCACAGATGGGGCCCAATAGAGCCGATGCCGATTCGGAGTCGCGGAGAACCTAACGGGTTACCGGGGCTCCGGCTCGACGTGCTGGAGAAGGAACGGGGTGGTTTTTAGTCAGTAAGAGTCTGACACTCCCTCCCACCTCACCCAGGCGGAAGCAGGCATTCGATGATTTTCCCCCCTTAAGAAAAAATACATATATAATTCAAAGGTGACTGACATAGTGATCTATCAACGCACAGCCCAAACCACTGGACGGATCGGGCTGAAATTTGGCATGTAGGTAGGTATTATGACCTTTTAAAACGGATTTTGATTATTTTCACCCCCAGTGGTGTAAAATAGGGGATGAAAGTTTGTACGAGCCTTTGTCAGTTTTACACCGATCGGGTTGAAATTCGGCAAGCAGGTAGATGTAATGACATAAACATATATATATAAAATGTTATGAACATAATGTATATATTTACATCATATATATATACACATATATATATAGATCGGAGGTATACAGGTAGGTACTGCATATTCTAGTAGGTAATAAATTAAATGGAAGCTTTTTATTTCTTATTTAAAAATATAGTCTCCAATATAGAAGGAAAATATTTAAACAGCGAAACGGTATGCTTTAATTAGATACTTTATTGTTTTTTGGTGTTTTTATATTTACATAATAACATCACGCCTGTTATCCCCGAAGGGGTAGGCAGAGGTGCACACAGAAGTAACACCCACTTTTCACTATTTATGTTATGAGTCCCATGTAATAGGGGGTGAGCCTATTGTCATATACAGGGCACATTTCCAGACTCCGTGCTACTACTGAGATTTTTTTTAAAAACCCTGTAATTCTTTTCCTGACCCCGAATCGAACCCGAAAACCCATGTCCGGCAGTCGCACTTGTGACCACTCGGCTATCGAGGCATAAACGTCTAAAATAAAAACTAACCAACTCAGCTCTTTGGTTTTAATGTATTGACTCAAATTATTAGAAATAAATCACAGAACTACCATTGGATTTGGCACACACTCTTGTGTTGCTAAAGTCAATAACCGAGGTAGGTAATATAAATAATTAATTTAGACGTGGATCTTATTTTATTTCACATTTATGTTGTTGATGGGATATTATTTAACAATTGAGAAACAGCAGCTTACATTATACCACTTGTAAACAGGTACGCCTTTTACTGCTGGATGTGCCATTCAAGTCCTACCCCGTTATAGTGATGTTGCTAAAGTTGTGACCATTTTCACCATCACCACGTCCGTAGCTGTTTCCTCCATTACCAAGATTAAAAACGTCATCGGGAGTACCCCCATCTGAGGGCACAGTGTCAGTGTTGTCCTTTATACCTGAAATGAAAGGTGATTCAATACCATTTGCAATACAGCGGTCTTTCGTCAAATCAGATGTGATATTACAAATATTACAACATTAAGACTCAGTGATAGTATAATGGGTTAAAGTAACCATTACATAGTACGCTTCTTTTGTTGGCATTTGTGTGCACCGTTCAATACGTACCTTCGATATTTATGTTTTCGAAGTTCCCACCATTTCCAGCATTACCATTTCCATAGGCAGCTCCTCCATTGCCAATATTGGTTTGTTGTGCATTATCTTTGATAACAATGCTTGATATGGTGGGTGCAGCTACTGGAACTGAAACGGAAAGCGATACATCACTACCTGCAGTATAGCGGTCCTCTGTCCAATTAGAAGTAATATTACAACCATCAGAATATTGAGGTTCAGTGTGGTTTAGCATGAACAACCGACAGCGAAACCATCAAATATTCGAATCTACTTCATGCAGGTGTGCTGAAACTATCCTAAATTAGTATTCGGACTTAAGAGAATGTGTGGGATCGTCTTTTGATAATTAAACTGACTCCCCATTGTTCTGAATGTTATAAAGTATACTGAATGCTAGAACACTTATTGGTTTTATTAATACCACGAAGTCATTTAGCGATTGTCAAATAGAAAATATTTACCTGTATCTGTCAGCTGAATGTTATGATGTTGAGGACGATGTGTGAATGATGGTATGTTGTAAAAAGCCCATGGTGTTGCCAAAGTTGATACGATCGACGAACACAGTAATAGCAGTAGAGCAACAGAACGTGCCATCTTGTAAGAGGACAATGCAATACTAATAAAAGGGAAAATATATTTAAGATATGTATATATGTAGCTGGGCTTTACATTCTGCAATATTTGAGACAACAATAAAATACGAACAAGTGCACTTCGATGCACTTTATATAAGTCACGTCCATGTCTTTACGTTTAACCGACTGACTCATCCTCCCCCTCTGTACCCCGTTACCGCGAAGCGTGATGGTGGCTGACGCATGGTCTTCGTGGTTTTCATACAATACATAACGTCGCAGTAAAATAGATGACACCGTGATGTTGTTATAGTCCTTAACATATTTTACGAAAGCGATTCGATACTCATCATCATCACCAACAGCCTATAAATGCCCACTGTTGAGCAAAGCCTCTTCTCATTCGGAGAAGGTTTGACCATTAATCGCCACGTTTACTCAATGCGGGTTACGATGCGATACTATTTCACCTGAATGATTAATGATACTGTTCAAGTCTAGCGTAATAATTATAAAACTAGTTTAGCTCTAGTAAAATAATTAGGAGTGTAATAATTATGTAGTTACGTTCGGCATAAAGGCTAAGGCGAATAGGCGACGGAGCCCCGCAGCGGGGCACCATTTTCTGCCCACTAGTTTTGAAGTAGGCAACCTAATGAATGACATGCCGGGTAGCTAAGGTTCGCTTGCTTGTTCACTACAATTTCCGTCATGCCATTCAAACTTAGACGCCCACCACGTCGAGTTGCCCTTTTTAAAAATAATAAAAACGGTGAAAACAAATTTTATGAATGTCTTTCGAGTGTATTATTATTTCCTTAAAATAGTTCGAGCTCCAAATGGACATGGACAAGACGAAAGTCATGTCGAACGCCCTACCAGATATCAGTTGGGAGCTCTAAAGACTATTTCACGCGGTCGATGTCGCGGGTAACAGCTAGTAGAATATAAACGAAAGGATCGACATATTTCATTTGAGCTGTCTTGTTCCCGAGCAATGCCTAATCAATTACATTGAACTCGATCTGTTTTTTTCCTCCTTATTTCGTTAAACGTGTTTTGAGATAAAGGAATTTCAGGTACCTATATAAAAGATTCTTAATTTTTGACACCATTAGTATTGCATTGTCTGCTCACAAGATGGCACGTTCTCTTGCTCTACTGCTGGTGTTTGCGTTGATCGTATCTACATTGGCAGCACCATCTGAACCGAAGGTAGAGGGTTAGTATTTTGTATTACACAATCGCAATCGGTGAGTAATTTTGATTTGATATATTTTCATAGTGAAGTCTTTACTTCAAGTCTTCAACTACTAAGGGTAAGTAATTCTGTCTGCACAGGTAAAATCGTAAATCTATGAAGGCTATTGTCTTTGTTTCACATTAGTTTATTCTATTTGAAAATGTAACTATATTTGTGTCACTCTAGATCTAATATAAAAAGTAATCTGTGGAGAACGTAGTGGGTAACATATTTGCCAAGTATAATGTGTAAGCTGAATTATGTATATTTTGTAATATGTTACTGTTTGTTTTTCCTTAAATAAATAAATAAAATAATTTTATCACTCCGCGTCGCGTCCAAAAGTCCAAACAGTTCTTTGTTTTCGTACGTAACTCAATATCGTTGATTAACTGGTTTCTCTGCAGATTCATACAGGATATGCAACTTATTGTTTCGTTTTTGTATAAATATGTATGATAGTTCTTCTAGATGGTTTTTTAATTTTATTATGAACATGTATTTAATTGAATACTGGAATGCAGCTAGCAATAGGCTCAATTCCACTGAATCACCGAATATGACATGATGGGGCAGACCACAGACGATGTCTATAGTAGTCTTGCAATGTGATCGGTTGATCGATCTGAAGCTCAATGTTTCACCTCACTTCAAGTCACACTAATGCCGTGAAGACTGATCACCTGATGGTAAGCAATCAGTGCCGCCCTCGGACACCAGAAACACCAGAGGTATTATTACAAGTGCGTTTCCGGGCTTTTGAAGATTATTGAGAATTCGGGGATTAGGGAGATTGGGGAGGGGGTAATTGGGCCTCTGGTAACCTTCTTTCTTTCATTTCAGGTGCAGGCGTCAATGTTCGAGGTGGGCCCAAAGAATCAAGCACTGCTGCCATAGCTGATGTTACGCCAATAAGGCGGGTCGCTCGACAGACCAATATTGGCAATGGAGGAAGCAGTTACGGATCTGGTAATGCTGGGAGTGGTGGCCACTTCGTAAACCTTAATTTAGGACGTGATAATAAAACTGATAATAAAACGGTCTAACCTGACTGATACTGATACCTGTATTTGAACAAACATGTTTGACTGCAGACATCACTAAGCAGACTGGTTTGTTGCATTATTTTGATGATGGTATGAAATAAATAAACAATAAATAGATTACATCATTCCCATCTGTACCATTTCCAATTCTAGATCCCTATTCCCATCATCTATGAATGATAGATGAATAGAAACTGCTGATGGTATTTTCTTCTCATATGTGTATTTAAATCTTAATTAAAAAAATGAAATGTTTCACTTATTCATTTTGTGTTTTATTTACCTGTTTCAATCATGCAAACGTTTTATCGTAAAGAGTGGATGTACGTTTAATATCCAAGAAGTTATAATTAGCTACACTTACGCAGTTTGGCTTCTGTTAACCGTAACGTGGTATTCTACCTACAGCATCATATATTTATGTATCCTTCCTCGGTATACATTTGGAAATCTAACCCAGAGGGCTCATAACGATTTTTTTTTTGTTTTATATTAGATGGGACTGACATTTGACCACTATCTCGCCTGGTGGTAAGCGATGATGTGGCCTACGATGGAGCACTCATAAGCAACCTATACTCTCGGGCCTTGAAGACACTCAGGTTTCCACTCCAGTACGCACAAGGAAGCTTGATGCGATGCGCTTCGTGGGTGTGGGTGGGACATCTACCAGGAATCGGTGACGCTTCGCCGATTGTTTTGTGGTAAGATGATGGAAAGGACTAGGGGGAATCAAGTTGTGCATACTCACCGTTTATTCGGTAGGAGACTAAAAGGCATGCAACCTTACGCCTGTGTTCGAGGCTTTGAAGCCGGGCCTCCAAAAGCACATCATTGTTGATGAGTTTCTGAGATGGATGAGATGAATTAGTTTTACGTTTAACGAGATCGAAACGTCACCGCGTTTAACCCTCTGATTTGTTGGTTTATTGGAGTTGGCCAATCAGAGCGCTGAACGTCATAAACGTGGTGGTCACGTTAAACGTTGGTTGGTTAATAAGTCCTGCATCTTAGGACTAATTACGGATTAGGTCAAAGAAAAATTCAGTTAATAATAAATAGCGGTTTATTAGAGTTGTCCTTTTAAAAATGTCCATAAGTAGGTACAGACCTATTTTTTCTGATATGCATAATATTATTCTATAAATCTCGAAACAAGGTATTTTAAGTAAATAATAATACACTGGAGACACTTTTTAAATACATTTTCACTAATTTCTTAATAATTTTTGTTTTAAATAAAAGTAAGTCATAAAACTAGAGGTATAAAAATATTAGCATAACTACTACATAACTATAACTAGAGGTATAAAATAAAAAGTCTCATCCATAGTTTGCTTTATTTCCCAAATCCTATAGAACCAGCACTTGATTGTGCCGCTGATCCACCACGTCCAAAACTGATAGTACCGCTTCTGGAGTAACTTATAGACCCTCCAGAGAAACGCCGTCGCCCTCCGAAGCCTGATCCTCCAAAACCTCCATAAGGTCTGCCAAATCCCCTCCCGTAACCTCCAAATTGAGGTGAAGGCACTGGCGCTGGGTCGGGGTTTGGTGCTGGATTTGGTGCAGGGACTGAAATGAAATAAACAAGGTTATACAATCGAAAATTAATCCAAGTTGATCAAGTAAAATATATTTTGAATCTATATTGAAATATTTAGTACGCCTAAAATGTTATACTAGGCTGCCTCGTTTGCCGAGTACCGAGCTTAGGTTCGATTCCTGGGTCGAGCAAAGAATTATGTTTTTTTTATTAATCTCAGTAGTAGCACGGAGTCTGGAAATGTGCCCGGTATATATGGCAATAGGATCACTCCCTATTACATGGGACTCTTAACATAAATAGTGAAAAGTGTGTGTTACATTGTACAGTGGCATAAAGTGCCGCCCCTTCCGGGAGAAAAGGGGTGATGTTGTGTTATTATATATTTATTTATTTATAATTTATTGCACACAGAAAAAAAATGTTAACATTATTTTAGTCATTTGAGTACAATGGGCGGTCTTATCTTATTATTGTTATGATATGTATGTAAAATTTTATTTTTCAAAAGTAGATAGTTGATAATATAATATATGTTCATGTTACCAAACCCTATTTTAGGACAATTTAGTTTTGCCTGCACTAAAATAATTCATGAAGCAGAACATAGGGCAGCCCGTCGTGATAATCAAATAGGTTTGGCGAAAGTTATAGTTATCGTCATGACATACGTTAGGTTTGTCGCGGAGAACCTAACGGGTAACCGGGGCTCGACGTGCAGGAGAAGGAACGGGGTGGTTTGTAGTCAGTAAGAGTCTCACACTCCCTCCTGCCTCACCCAGGCGGGAGCAGTCATTCGATGATTTTCCCCCCTTAAAAAAAATACTTTAGGTTTCTTCAAACCTTGCGTGAAGGAACAGGAGCCCCGCCCAGCAGGGCTCCATTGTCTCGGATTAGTTTGGTCTGGGCCAAACTAGTTTGTATATTGATCACTATATTAATAGCTTTTAATTAAAAGAAACCTAATCAGGTTATGATATCGATAATAATTATTCACAATTACATTGGGTCTGTAAAGTATTATTAATTTCTTTACATGATTATTTATTTTTTGTCATAAAAGATTATAGTCATTGAAACTTATTTATATAAAATAACATAACATTACATCACGCTTTTTATCCCCGAAGGTGTAGGCAGAGGTGCACATTACGGCATTTAATGCCACTGTACAATGTAACACCCACTTTTCACTATTTATGTTATGAGTCTCATGTAATAGGGGGCGAGCCAGACTCCGTGCTACTACTGAGGTTTTTACAAACCCGGTAATACTTTGCCCGACCTGGGAATCGAACCCGAGACCCCTTGCCCGGCAGTCGCACTTGCGACCACTTGCCCAATGAAGCAGTTATTTATATAATAAAATCATAATACATATTAAAGAAATGTAGCAATTAATTAGTTCATTAAGATAAAAATAAACAAACCTGCATCAATACAAACGACGACTAGAAGAGCAAACACACACAATAATAAACGAGACATTATAAATGAATTAATTAGATTATGCTAATTTCGAGTTCACTGCGATCACATATGGCTCAATACTAAGATAATCAGTTACTGGCACGATACCATGATCATCCAAATATATATATTAGACGGAATCATTGAACCACTAAAGACAAACACTAGTCATAATTTTAGCATCTACCATGTTATATCGTAGGAAATTCCTACAAGTATGCCATTCTCCTTTGAAATCTTTGAATCCTAACGCAATAATAAGTCAATTAATTTTTCACTCTGTTCAATCGTCTTACAGCACATTTTCGTATGAAGTTTTTTAATTACATTTTTGTTCATGATTCGTAAGTACTAAGTCAATACGTAGATATACTAATATGATGTAGATATACAATACATATATGTCACACAAGCTTGCATTCGAACTACCTGTGTATGGAGAGTTGCACATTTATTATTATTTGACGAGTCCAATCACTTTAGAGTTACTATAATATTTTTTTATAATAACTATCGTGAGACATTACATAACATCACGCCTTTTATCCCCGAAGGGGTAGGCAGAGGTACATTATGCCACTACAATGTAACACCCACTTTTCACTATTTATGTTATGAGTGCCATGTAATAGGGGTGAGCCTATAGCTATCTATCTATCTATCTATCGTGAGACATACTTAATTAAATGAAAATGACGGGTTACTCACCTAGAGGTAAATATGCTGAGAAAGTTCTGCTAGTTACGAGACATAGGGGGACTCTTCATGTGCAGCGTGCCTACCATCGCCGCGACGGCGCACGCTGGTCAAGAGGAAGAAGCTGAATAATTTGTGTTGAGTAGTGAATTTATCAAGGAAAGTTACAGGCTATAAAACATTACGCTATGACCATTAGGAGCCGAGCGGTGAGTGAAAGCGGGTCTATGACATACATTTAATGCATAGGCATTCTTCCCCTTCTTTCTTTTTCTTTTGGTAACAACAAAAAACATTTTTAGTACTGAGTTTTCATATTATTCTGATTAAGTTACAAACTTAATTAAAATACATAGGTATTATAATATTCGCTAATGTTATTTATTATTTATTTATGTACACACATACAACACAAAAAGACAACACATATATAAAATTAAATTACAAAGGTATCACCTATTCCTATTGGAATTTCTTCCTATGAACCTGTGGCAGGAAAACTAATAATTATATAATGACACAATTTGGAATAACAAATAGAAAGTTAACATAAAAAACAGACTTAAAACTAAACAGATAAAAAAATAAAAATTATAAATATAATACACCTATAACAAATACATACAATATATAAATAAATACATACAATTCATAAACTATACATTTAAATAAATGAATTTAAATATCAAGAGGAAAGGTAGTGTTCTCTCACTCGTCTTTTAAAGATAGCGATTTTTTTTTAAGGGGTAAAATCATCGAATGACTGCTCCCGCCTGGGTGAGGCGGAAGGGAGTGTCAGACACTTACTGACTAAAAACCACCCCGTACTCCTGCACGTCGAGCCGGAGCCCCGGTTACCCGTTAGGTTCTCCGCAACTAAAGATAGCGATAGAGTCAGCGTCCCGAATGTTAGGCGAAAGTGAATTCCACAGTCTCACTACATGAACGGAAACGGAGTAGGAGTAATAAATCGGTATTATAGGGCACGATTTTAATATTAGATTTAAGGTGTGGACGAGATAGGATAGGAGGACGAATTTCAGGTCGCGAAGGAAAGCAGGGTAGACAGGATTCAACATGAAGTTATATAGGAGACGAGGAGAATTATTGGACGAGGATCTCTATTAGTTTCAAACCATGCCAAAGGCTCATATTCATGAGCAGCGTTCTGCGATCCGCGACGCGGTGACTACGGCACTGCTACCAATAAATAAGTGAGTAAGCCGAACATAATAATTATTTTAGTATGTCTCACAAAAGTTATGATGATATTATTACCTCTATATACCTATTCTAAAAAAAACAGCTGTTAAATATTTAATAAATTTAATTGTACCACTTTTCTACTAGTCGTTACACATACTTCTTTTGTTGATATTTGATATATTCAATTTCACCCCCTCACAAATAATGTTGCCAAAGGTACCACCATTTCCACCATTACCACTTCCATAGCTGTTCCCTTTATGACCAAAATTGCCATTGAAATATTGAGCGCATAAATTTGTAGATGTCACGTCAGCATTACCGCCTGTACCTAAAATGGAAGATGATGTATCACTACCTGCAGTACAGCAGTCCTCTGTCCAATCTGACATGATATTGCAATCATTAGGTCAACAAGACTCATGGAGGCTTAGGATGAAACTCCGCCATGTGATTATATCACCAAATATTCGAACCTACTTCGCGAAGGTGCACCAACGTTCGGGTTTGGTGAAAATATGCTGAAATTCGCGATTTTATAATTAAACGCGTAAATAATCATAACTTTAAACTCGTATTAAACAATGGAGCAAAAATACAACGGAACCTTTTAAGGAAAATTTAAATGTCATTAGCATGACATTTATGAAGTGTAAGACAGTGCACCAATTAAAATACGGTACACGGCCAGTGTGTAGTTTATCAAATAAATTATCAATTGTGTAATAATACATATTTACCTTCTTCCTTCGGTCCAGATGGTGCTGCCAATGTAGATACGATCAACGCAAACACCAGCAGTAGAGCAACAGAACGTGCCATCTTGTGAGCGGACAATGCAATACTAATACTTTTCCTGGACTGAACATGTAAATTACTTGTGCAATAAACTTAGAACTATATTAAGTAAATTTTACCACCTAAGTTATCGAGTTCCTTAAGAGTATTGTATAAATGTATGGTGGAGTCTTTGATGGTCAAGCTCTTGATTGCTATGGGCTTACATTCAACACCTACATGGAAAAATTAGAAAATTTACAAATAAGGTTCCTAAAATTACTAGTTGATAAAAAAAAACTAAAAATAAATATAAAAATGACGACTATAAATTATTTAAAATCTGTAAAGTATTACCGGTCAGACTTAAACATAAATACATTCACGCAACCAATAACCACAGCAAACAAGAACATAATCCACCACTGATAACAGTTTGTAATAAACACAACACCCGATCGATGTCGTCTGGTAAATATGAGGTACCAAGGGTTAATAATGTTTATGGTGATCGATCAATGAAAAAGCGTATCCCGTACTTACTCAACCATTTGCCAAACGAAGTCAGGGAAGAGAAAAATAAAAATAGATTTAAGACTAAATTAAAAAAATATCTGTTTAGTAGTGTAGGTGATAGGTAGTCACCTACACTACCTACCTATAAAATATCTGTATAGCTATATGTATTTAAAATTAAGCATTAACAACACTACCATAACCATATGTATTTAAAATTAATCATAACCATAATCATAATTAAACTACTAATTCCTACTAAATAGTAATTTGAATATAGAAGATCCAACAGTCAAACTATTTATATACCTATAGTTTTGTTGGACATGGCGTTAGATTATAAGGCATACCATGTACCTTTATTAATAATAAATAAATAATAAATAATAATGTAAACACAACACAAAAGTGGTTTATAACTGAATCCACTTATATGAAAGTACTGAAAGTCCGATGTTGATCAGTTGAAACCTGTCTGTAGAAATTAGCCTGATGTCACTGAACTTAGGTTTCGGGTGAAATTAGATCAAAGTAGTTTTAGAAAGAAAGAAAGAAAAAACATTTATTTAGCACCCGGCACGATGCAGCATAAATAAAAAATAAAAAAGACAATCAAGGTGTGACAGTGGAAGTAATAAAAATATAAGAGTTGAAAAATTTAAACAGAAGAATTAGAAAAGAGACGCTGATAACATGCCTATGCTAAAAGGGTCACCCACTCAGCGTAAGCCAGGCATACAGGCTACCCAGCGCTGATTTTCAGTGGGCACCCATGCAGTGACGCACGGATGGAAGCAACGTTGTATGGTTAGACAAAGCCAAAAAAAAAAATATATATATATACATACATATATATATTAATGCATTTACACACCCACCACACACACATATACATACACATACATACACACATATATATGCAATAAGTATGCAGATACAACAATGGTATACTTATCAATATAATAAATATAAAAAGTAATGTAAAATAAAATAATAAAAAAGAAAAATGTTAATAAATAGTACACATGACAGAATGAAGGACATAGGACAGCCAGTATGTCTGCGTTCTGCATGTCTGCATCATTCATACACTAAACTGGCTAGGGTAGACAGATCAACATTAATTGCAGCCTTGTCTTTTTGCGAAGTTAAAATAAACATTTTAAGATTATATTTAAAACTATTTATACTTGGAATCTATTTTACCTGAAATCGGGTTTGGTCATTGAGATACACATATAGTGTCGCTATCACTGTACAACGCCACTGAATGTCGAAAGGAACCCCCAGGCGCCTCTTTGTTATCTGCCAATTCCGTGTCTAATCAGTCAATCACTTTGCTCTTTGAGGATTCGTCGTCCGTAATATATTTTTCTGAAACTGGACCCACAGTTTCGGAGCGAATTCAATCAAACAAAAAATCAAATCTCTCCTCTTTATTTGACCTATTGGTACAATAAAGAGGAGAGATTTGATGTTATTACTTCCAAACTTTGTTTGCGCCGGATCTGTGGAATGACTTATACAAAGTGTATTGAACTGCACCTGTTTGCATTTTATTTTTATCTCCAATATTGCAGAATGTAAAACCCAGCTGCATCTCCATAAAATTTATTTTTCCTCATAACTTCTTAAATTGTTTTATATTTTTAGTGTAATCAGTTATATAAAAGGATTTGCATTTTATGTGATCCTTAGTACTGTATTTTTAGCACACGAGATGGCACGCTCTGTTGTTCTACTGTTATTAGTGTGTTCGTCGATCGTATTAACTTTGGCAGCACCACATTATTTTTGGCCGCATTCAAATTGTCATCATCATCATCATCATCACCATGGATATAATCATTTTCCGTGTACTAGTACAGGTAAATATTATCTATTTCACAATCGCTAAATTATTTTGTAGTATCTATATCTGTGTTTATACATCTATAT